GGCGGGCGCCACGTTCAAACGGCCGCTTTGAAATTGCTCGGGCCTGTGCGAAACCCGCCACCTCAAAAACCTGCAGTGTCTTGTGTCTGGACCTCTAGGCCATGTCCGGTGGGGTGAAAGGACACTTAAAAATCACCCCGTTATTTTTCGAGGGGCAGCTAGGACCCGACAAGCGTCCTGGGCCGCCCCATTTTTTTTTTTGATTTTGCCCCAGGGGCCTCCATCCAGACATGGGGACCGGACACCGGACACCAGACACTGGACACCGGACTGTCTGGAACCCGGTCCGGACGTCCGGACGGTTACCATGGTATGTACTATGTAGTATGTACCCTATTTAAAGACGGGAAGTCCTTTTCTTGTCTTTTTTATTCTTCTTTCTTTCTTTTTTTTTGTTAAACTACGCTATATTCTTCTCTCAAATCTTTCATCATCTTTCAAATTCTTTCAATTCACCTTCACTACCTACCTACCACTACTCCTAAGGCTTAGACAGGGGACCCCTGCAAACATAGCTTTGTTGTCTCCCATACCGAGTCCCAGAAGCCATCAGATGTGCCAAAAAGTCCCAAAATCCATCACATGGGCCAAATTATATATGTAGCCGGTCCTAGAGGGCCTCGGTCCAGTAGCATGAAATTAAGCTCATGCCCAGAAATTGGATATCCAGTGTATCCACATAATTTGCCCATGTATGCCGATAATTTGAGCACTCTGTTGGTTGGGTATAACCGCAATCTGGCAGTGCCAACCTTGGCCCGCCTCGGTCCTGGGCATGAACATAATTTCCACGAGTGGTGGTTAACGGAGACCCAAAATTTCAGCATTTTTTTAATCCTATTTTTTGGCCCAAAAAAACTGATTTCAGCAATGAAAACAGTTTACCCTGTTAACCACTGGTGATTTCCACAGGCCATTTCCTGGGTATACAAGCAAGTTGGGCCGTGGGACTAGGTATAACGGGAATTCCCATCTTTGAACAGGGTATAGATGGAATTTTCCGCAGCATTATAGATCATCAAGGTCTGTTGACATGGGACATCATATGTCTTTTGGGTTTCTGGCATTTCTCACAGGTTCTCGTATTCAGCGATGCTGTGCATGCGGGGGAACTTACTGATCAACATGAGACTTCAACTGCAGAAAGGGTTATGAATGCTGTAAGTAGTAAGTATTGATATTGTCGTCGTTCATGAACTGACTTTTTTTTTTTTAAGCTGTTTTCTCCTCATAAGCAGTTCTTTTTTTTTTTTGAGCTGACTGTTGTTGGTGAGGTTCTCTACTTTCTTTTCTGGATTCAACACTCTCTGTTATCTTCCCTTGTGCTGCCGAAATGGCGGAAGGGTTGTGAATGATGCAAGTGGGGACAGCACCTTCCTCATTCGTGATCTGACCGTTGTCAGTGGGGTTTCTTTTCTGTTATAGATTTGACACTCTCTCCCCTCCCCTCCCCTCCCCTCCCCTCCTCAGCTACAATGGCCCCCACATGCCAATTATCATCGTCCCTATTAATACTCGGTGCTCACCTTGGTTACCAGCTGGGCCGTCGGGATTGCCTTTGACAGCTTGTGCAGCCCCAGGTAGACCAGGTACAAAACTCAAAAACATTTAAAAATTCAGAAAAAAAGAAAAACTGATATAATGGTCTGTTGCGTGGTATCTTACAGCAAACAACTTTTGGCCGAGGGTCCCTTCGAAGTTCCTTATTGGATTGAAAATGTAAGATAAAATGAATGATTGGTTTATGATCTAGGCTACCATCCGGGCCGCCCGGGTCACCTTGTTTGCCCAGGTCGGCCAGGTCACCTGTTTGCCCAGGCGGGCAGGTCACCTTGTTTGCCCGGGCCACAGATTTCTCACCAATTGAGCCGACGTGCATTTCGTTATGCTGCTTAAAGTAAACTGAACTGAACTGGAAAAAAAAAAAAAAAAAAAAAAAAAAAAAAAAAAAAAAAAAAAAAAAAAAAAAAAAAAAAAAAAAAAAAAAAAAACTGAAAAACAATTATGCATAGCTACGATCCGGACATCTGGACAGGGATCCGGACTGTCCGGAGTCCGGTGCCCGGTCCAGGTTTCCGGATGGTGGGATAATGGGGGGTAGGTCGCTTAGTGCATTCCTCCCCCCAAAACAAAGGAAGTCTGAAAAAAAAAACAAAAAAAATAATCCTGCTTTCAGAAAGAAAACAGCGTCCGTCAGAACGGGCGCCTGCAATGACTTGGGCCTCGCTGCACTACTGTCCAAATGTGCAAAATGAGACTGAATCCACCGCTAGAACATGGAAAGATACATTGCCATCTTGTTTGTCGTTTCTGCTTGTGGAGAGTAGTGCAGTGAGGCCCTATGGGGGATTTGGGCCTCGCTCCACTGCTCACCAAATGTGCAAAATGAGAATGAATCTTCCTCTAGAACATGGAAAGATACCACCATATGTTCTGTCGTTTGTGCATGTGGTGAGCAGTGGAGCTATGCTGTGTGCCTGCTCTCCAAGGGAAACCATTTTTTTTTATTATTTATTTTTTTTTTTCCTTGTTTTTGGCAGAAGGGCATGACTGTGTCCTCTCAATTCGCGTGTACCTTCCCTGGATTGGGTGCTCGTACATTCCAGCAAAAGACAAAAGACATCAACAGAGAAAAACTGAAACGAAAAAACAGTGCCTGCAACATACGGGGGGTACTTCCTGTTCCACGTTGCCCTCTGCCCGCCACTTGGCGGGTTCTTTGGGTTCTCTTTCTTCCATTTTTTAACGTTTTTTTTTTTTTTTTTGGTTCTTTTTTTTTTTTAGCTTGTTTTTTTTCATGTGGCCGTTGGCAAAAAGCCAACGGCATTCTAATGGGCCTAGCCCACTTTGGTACACCCACGACCTGTTAAAATGCAGACCAAAGTTCGAATCCAGTGATATCTCATATCTCAAGGCCGTCGCCCTTTCGAAAGAATAAAACAGGCAATGCACCCCAACGACATAATTCAGCCTTTTTTGTGGGCACACTCGAGTGCAGACCTGAGATTGAGCATTCCCCCCCACAGTCGTGTTGTTGTTTTTTTTTTCCCGGAAAATACAGGGGTTCCGGACAGACGTCCGGACAGGGGTTCCGGACCGGTCCGGATCTTCCGGAATATTCCGGTTTTTCGGAAGTCCGGATGGGTCCGAGAAGTCCGGAGTCCGGGGTCCGGATTCGGTCCGGAGTCCGGTCCAGCGTAGCTATGCAATTATGTTATGCTGCTTATGCAGAAAATCAACTGAACAACTTTTGCCTCAGCGTCACATCGAGATTTTTTATCAACTTCAAAAAAATAATAATAATATTTTTTTATTTTTTTTTAATTGTTTTTGGCCTGGCCGCGTAAGTGTTCCCTGGCCACGCTGGTATCCTAGTTTATTATGGCATATCCATTTAAATGTTAAAGTTTTAAACCACCAGCCTCACTGAGTCTATTTGCACCCCCGGACCTGCCGGGCACTCTTACTTGGGTGACAACAACTTTTTCCACCTCTGTCTCTAATGCTGCCATCTTCTCCTCATGCTCCTTGTTCCATATTTCCAACTCTTTCTCCATCTGCTTCTTCTTTGCCTCTTGCTCCTCTAGCAGGGCCAACATCTTCGCCTGCTTGATCAGTTCCCTCTTCTCCATCCTCTCCTTCCTCTCCTTCAGAAGGGCGGCAGCTTTCTCCTCCTGAGCCTTATTGTAGGGAGTGGTACTAACTCCGGTCCTGGTGGTCACCATGGTGAAAGTGCACAATCACAGACGACTCCGCTCCTCAACATGTAGACCTACCAGTCTGACTCTCTAAAGGACTACAGAGTGCGCTCCTCAGTTTCAGCCAGGTTACCACAGCCGACGGATGCTTTCGCAACCACTGTCACCGAAACTTTCCACAGCCGACGGAAGCTTTCACCACCACTGTCACCGAAACCCACCTGGCCTTCACTTCAGATTGAAACCCTGTCAACTAGGATCTCTAGCCTATTCTACTCTAGGGCTGTCACTACGGGACTCACTGGCTGATCAGGAGGCATTTAAGGAGAAGAATTCTTTAACGTCGCAGACAGGACGACGCGATCAGCCAAGTCATCTCAAGACTTAGACAGCTCGACGCACAGCCCACAGCTCGGAGTTTGGGCCTACCACGCCACACTGAGCAGCCCGCCGGTCAGTACCGGTCCTTGGGGGTCTTGTCCTCGGGACGTGTCAGTCGTCAGACGCGGCCTTTAGCCTTACTAAGTCCCGTGTGGGTTTGGGCTCGCAGCTCTACAACCTCATCCACAGAGTCCCATCGACCTGGACAGAAGTCACAGGGAGATATGACAGACTGTGAAAGACTCAGCGTCAGCAAGTACCAGGGTGAGGGTGCACATCCACAGAGTAAGGGCTAGGCCAGGGCTTAGAGAGATGATACCGCTCGTCTTCTTGCTCCATCTTGGCCAACGTTCCGGTCAACGGTCTTGGTCAACGCTCTGGTCAGCCATGTCAACGTCGGTCAACAACCTTGGTCAACCTCCGATCAATACGTCGGTCAACAAGCTTGGTCAACCTCCGATCAATGCTGGTCAACGGTTTTGGTCAACCTCCGACCTCCTGGCTATGGTGGTCGAGGATCCACCCTGAATGTCCACTCACTGCACACACACACATACTATACACCCTGTTGACGTCAGCAGCTTGGCGGCTATGGCCGCCGTCGTCTTCCTCCTACTAGCTATGGCCGCGTCATCTTCCTCACTGCCCATTTCAGCTCCAGGCACCTGCAGACCTCCACGCACTAGTCACCAAGGCAGCGCTTCCGCATGGCTCACAGGCGAATGAATGAATGGCTGATCGCTGCCTCTTTATTTATACTCTTCCGGAGGTGGCCTGGGCCTGCCTCAAAACGTGTGGGCCTGGACCCCAAACCGCGTGGGCCTGGGCCCCAAACCGTGTGGCCCTGGGCCCGGAAGCCTCCAGAACGCGTTGGCATGCTGGGCCAAAACGCGTGGAACCTGTGGGAAACCGCGTGGGACCCTCACCACTTGCGTGGTGCTTGCTGACTGAACCTGAACAGACAGGTCTACGACCTTCTAGACTCTACCACCATTGCCTACGGACTGGGCTGACCCGTAGGCCTACGACGAGACAGGAAGAGACTTCCAGAAGGGCCCTAAGTAAGTCTAATGGTAACATACTAACCTTACTAACACGAAGGTCTGTGGATTAAGTCCTGGCATCTAACGACCAGACCCACTAACTAACCTACGGGTTTTAGGGACAGGTCACGGGTTCGAATCTCACTCAGCACACAGGGTCAATGTACAGGGTTTAGGCACAGATCTAGGGATCGAATCTCAGGGTCTGCAAATGTTGGGTCAACTGGGTGAAACCGTTTCATTATGGTCATTGTTGACAAATCCAGCAAGTATGCAGTGTTTGTGCCAGTACCGGTAGAGGCTAGGTCGGAGTTGGTCATTAGACAACTCTTCAATCATTGGGTCAAGGACAATTTCAACCTGCTTAGTATACTTGGTGCCTGAGATGTCCGGTTCACCGAAGAGCATTGGCAAGGACTCGTAAAGATGTATGGATCACAGTTGGCCATGTCGTCAGCAGAGGAATAACTGCTACAGCAAACTCTCAGGATGCACTTTAAGACCAGATCAAGTTGATTGGGAAGAGCACTTACCGTGTGTGACCATAGTGTACAACAACTCAGTGCACTTGTCCACAAACCGCACCCCGAATCAGCTGCATAAAGGATGGCAACCAAGCAAACCAATAGACTGCCCGAATGCTGATCAGCTGCACCGATTACCACCCGGCACATGTGAGTTTGCACTGAAGTTCTACTGCAAGAAGTCGAGGAAAGGATTCGACTCATACAACACAAGATGATTGAGCAGTCCAACAAGCATAGACGTCCTTCACAGTTTGCTTTTGGAGATCTAGTGTGGGTGAAGCCCAAAGAATTGGTGCATGAAGAAGGAATTCTCTAAAGTTGTTGCCGGCATATAGAGGGCTGTGGGAGATCATCAATGTCAAGGGAGATGCAGATGGTTCGTCCTACGTAGTCCCACCACATCTTGCAACTTACCCGGTATTTCATGCATCTAAGCTGCTACTTGTGGATACTGGCAATTCGTTTCTCTCTAGAACATCTACGATTCCTCCTGAAATGGACGAAAATTATA